GGGGGGGGGGGGGATGGCAGCACTCAGGACCCACCCCTGCCGCTTCCAGCGGGACTCGCGACAGGGCCTGCCCCCCACTCGCCCGGGGGAGCCTCGTACCCGCTTCACCGCTGCAACCTCGCTGCCAGGGCTGATCTTCCGGGCGTAGGCGCCCTGCACGGTGGCCATGGTGAGGCCGATGAAGAAAAACATCTTTCCTTGCTGCAGGCTGGGAGCGGGGGAGCCGTTAGTGCCTTGGTCTGACCGCCCTGCTCCCGCCAGCCACGCCGGAGCCTGGGAGCCCACAGCTTCTCCTGGGCCTCAGCCAGCGCCTGCCCCAGGGATGGGCCAGGGTGGGCGTCACTGAAGCGGGGAAGACAGGCTGGCGCCGCTACCTGCTGAACTGGAAGCGCTGATGAGCGAGGAAGCTGAGGGTGAACTCGAGACCCGAGAACAGGAAGAGGTAGAGGAAGTACACCAGACCCAGGCGGCGAAGGTGACGGATCCCTGGGGAGCACGGAGAGCGTCTGTAGGGGCCGGCAGCCCGAAGACGCGACAGCCCCGCACTCGTGATGGGGGTGCCTTCTTACCGTCTCCAGCGGGTGGGTCCTGGCCACGGGCCACGGCCGAGAAACGGAGCAGGGCCACGGGGCTGAGCAGGTCTGCCGCAGCCTGGAACCCCGGGCCGATAGAGGATGCCTGGGGAGGGGGTGGGACTGGACAGGCCGGCCAGGCAGCTGGGGAGGGCCATGACCTGAACCTGGCCTGGCCTCTGGTCCAGATGCCCGGACCAAGAGGCAGGGGTCCCCGGAGGCACTGCGGCCCCAAGAGCCCCTGTGCAGGAGGAGAGGCCAGCCCAGCATTCTTGGCCAGCCCCACGTGCCCACAGAACTGAGCCCCTGCCCTGGGGCTCGGCAGCAGGTTCTGGGACCCACCTTACCCGCTTCTCCGCAGGCAGCGTCTCCGGCAGGAAGCAGAAAATAAACAACAGGTCGGAGGCAGCAAAGAGCAAAGCCAGCCAGGGTACCATCTCCGCTGGCAGGAAGGCGCCAAGCATGGGGCCCAGCGTGAAGGCCAGCGAGAAGGCCACTCCAATGACTGCCTGGGGAGAAGGCCGCCTGAGCCGGGATGGGAGACCCCAGGCAAGGAATCCCAGCCTCCTCGCCCCGTAGTGCGCACGCACCATGCCTCGGCTGCGGGCGGAAGGTGAGCCCAGGTCGGCTACGATGGCTGTGGAGAGGCTGACGTTTCCCTTGCTGATGCCCCCAATCACCCTGGAGGCCAGGAAGGCGGCGAAGCTCTTTGAGGCCGCCCACACGGCATACGAGGTGGCCAGACCTGCCTGTCCCCGGGGCAGGTGTGGTCACTTGAGGCCAGGAGGGGCCCAGAGTTGGGCTGACAAACCCAGGTAACGCCGCTGGGACCCGGCCCTGTCTGTTCTGGAGCACTCAAGGTCCGTCTGTGTTCCCGATGTCCCCCCGCAGACAGGGAGCGGCTCTGGGAAAGCCTGCCTTAGCCACAGGAGCCAGCACCCAAAGCAGCACACCCAGGGGGCAGCGAGGGCCGCTGCCGGGTGGGTGAGAGGTGGGCACCCGTACCAGGGACAGCAGCATCACCGGGCGCCTCCCGAGACAGTCTGAGACAGCCCCCGTGACTGGTGCCAAGAGGAACTGCAGGAAGGAGAAGACTGAGCCTATCAGACCTGAAAGAGACAGACGTTTGGGTTACACGACTCGGTCTGTCCTCGTGGGTCTGGTGATGCTGGGTGGGCCCCACCAGGAGTGGACACTGCACACGGGAAGGGGGCAGACAGTGCCCAGCAGCAGCAAAGTGGGGACAAGGACCCCAGCGTGGGACTTGGGGCCGTACCTCCAAACAGGACACTGTTGTACCTCTTCTCCGCTGGCATCCTGATGGCTGCGGCAAACCAGTCCACGCCTTGTTGCCAGGAGCCATAGAGGGGATCCTGGGGAACAAGGAAGTGTGACAGGGGTTGGGGGAGTCCCTGATGGGCTTTGGGGCAGTGGGCAGCCATCGTGGGAGTCGGGGGGCCTCCAGACATGGGGGAGGGCTCACGTGGGCACGGCCATGGCTCTCCAGCAGCCCTGGCAGCAGAGGCAACAGCAGAGTGAAGGCCAGGAGGTCCAGCAGGAGGCCGAGGAAGACCACGGTGATCACACGGGGCTCTGACAAGGGCTGTTGGCGGATGGGTGGGCGCGGGGTGCAGCTCCCTCCTGCTCCCCAGCCCATGGTGGGGGCCGCTCCAATCCCGCCTGGCTGACAGTGTGGCAGGTCTGCATGAGGGCACCTCTGGGTACCCCAGAGCCAGAGACCTATCCTGGACCGGGGAGGAAACAGAGTTCCCCAGCCCTCACCATGCCCCCGACCCACTAACAGCTAGCAAGCACCCTAAAGGGAATGCCTGCCCGCCTCCCTAAGGGCCCCTCAGTGCGCCCTCTCCCCGATGCCAGGCAGCAGGAAAGTCAGGCTGCTGGGTTGCGCAAAGAAACCGCAGCCACCGATACCAACCAACCGTCCCAAGGGGCCGAGTTGGGGGCATCGGGGCCCCGGCCTACTCCATGCAGCCGCCCCAGGTCGTCTTGCAGAGTGGCTGGGGAAACTGAGGCCCGGGCGGAGGGCAGCCCCGGCGGTGTCCCCGTGCCGCTGAATCCCGGCCCCCAGCCCCCACCCCCCAGGAACCCGGCCCCCGACCTCCCCCATCACCCGCCC